ACATCGTCTGTCCGAAAATGCCATATCTCGTACCCTTACAACAACACAGCCCTTACACGACCTTTAAGATTTAGTGGGACGCCTTTTTGACGATACAAGTGACGCAAATTAGCAAACCGATTCGAGCCGTTGAGATTCTTGCACCGAATTCATCAGACAAACTTCCGTCAGAGCTGATACAACTACCCAGGTGTGTAAAGTTTTCCACAATCTCCAGTGATTCTCTTCAAATTGTAAGGGATATGTTCGCAGATGGCACATTTTGAAGCATGACTTTGCACTTTGAAGGTGCAAGGTGCATACCAAAAGTGGTATGATGGTGCTCAGTTTATTCAACAGGGCTTGTGCTTCGATTTGTTCTTCAAAGATGAAAGCGATATCAGCTGCGTACTCCAAATCGACAAGGCTTTCACCAGCAAAAATTTAAACACAGGGATTTTGAAGACTGTCCAGTGTTCGTCTCATTTTTCATCAAAGACGAAGTTGAACAAGCATGGGGAGAGTGGATATCCTTGTCTGACAGCAATTTTTGTAGGGAAGCTTCCGGAGAGCTCACCATACACCCTCACCCACCCAGAATTATGTGAATATAGGGATCGGATTATGTTTACAAACTTCTGGGGCATATCCTGTTGAGCAAGTTTAGTTGGCAGCACTGACCGATCGACAGAGTCGAACGTACCCTTAAAGTCAAGGAATACCAAGAATGTCGAACGTCTGTACATGTGGTGTCGCTCTAACTCCTGGCGGAGTGTGAATATGTGGTCAACGCAGAACGAATGACTGCCCTATCTGTTGTGACTGATGCAAGCGGTGATGCGGGTGTACAGCCCAATATCGTTCCCAATTTCATCTATTCTATGAGAACTGAACACTCAATAATCAGGCGCCAGGAGGCAGATAGGTTTGCACATCTAATTCCAACCTCTTCAAAAGACTAATATTGTGGTGTCAAAAAGTGTTCCTCACCCGTATCAGAAGAACCGAATGTTGAAAGGGTGTCAAGAATTCGTATTAACTTTGACGTTAGTGTGACCTACTGGGAGCACGAACCTCGAGGGCCAGAAAGGCGTTCAGTAACTTTCGTCACTTCCGACGTTAAAAAGAAATGTTTCCGAGTCAGAAATGAACAATTACCCCCAGACTTCCAATTAAAACTAACCTTAATTAGTCAATTCTTATTCTGAAATCTAATCTCCCGAATAACCGCAGCAGAATTCAATGCAAAACTGGTCTTCCGTTGAAGTCCCTTGGTCGGTGTTCCAGATTTGCCCTGCTTCCATATGTTGGGAAATTGCGTACATTGAGTATTATTTTTGGGCGACCTCAATTGGTAGCCGCTTCGACATGGACAAAATGTTTTACACTGACAGTTTTCATGTACAGCAAAGGCAAAGTGGTAATGGGAGTTTGTTGAACATATAACACGCACTGTTTACTCCGCTTGATAGTCTGGCTAACGGGAAAGCAAAGTAGTGTTCTCAGCTTAATAAGTCCCGGTCTGTATTCACACAAGGCATAGAAACACAAGAGTGACAGTAGATTTTTGTTGACTTCCCTGATGACTCGCTTTTGTGCTATCTCTCAGGCCAAGTGCGAACCCACATTCTCTGTTCGCCTTATCGTCACTGCTTTCAGCCTTGAGCAATGCCTTGGGAGCAAGTGATTCGTGCTCCAGTGATCTGAAAGACCATAGGTGAGAAGAAAGGTACTTTAAAAGATACCTAGAAAACTAGCCACACACCTACAGGGACTCCAGCCAGAAGTGGACCGGGAATAGGCCGACCGGTGTGTGGATACATGAATTCCAACGGCTGCAACGTGTTGAAAGTTCGGAAAGTGTATTTAGTCATCTGATCGCTAACTACACATAAGTGCGACACACTCAGCCTTATTGAGCGCATATATATATATATATATAATTTATTGAATGCCCTGTATTTCAGCAACCGAACCAACGAGACGCTTTGTTGACCAAGAACACTAGCAAAAGTTCCTCGACCACAGTCATACGTAGCTGCACAACTTCGTTGACAAAAGAAGGGTATATCAGCTATCTGTACCTTCCGAACGACCAATTTCTGGTTATCAGAGTGACTGAGACCTCCGGAAGTTCAGTTCCAGCATTGCTAACTAGAAGTTTGAATGTATCAGCGCAGTCCAAGCCTGTTATGCATATTTGAAGGCTATGTTGTGCTGAAATTCGATTCGAATAAAGATGAGTAAGTTTTTACAAGCAGCGAAAATAAAAAAAATAGGTCCTCGAAAAGATTTGCCTCAGAACCACCATAGTGAGACAGTAAGAAAGCTGGTACTCGGTTGTGCAATCGGGATATCCAGTGAAGAAGTCATCTAGCGCCAAACGCAGCGGGTATTTGGCCATGTATCGCGCTAGAAAAATCAGCGTTCACCAAAAACAATGGTGTTTCTCGTGCACAACTCGGTGTCGCCAGCAGAGACGTTGCAAGATATGGTTGCTAATTGATCCGGATTGCATGAATGAATGACGGAATGATTGTGGTAGGCTAGCACCAAGTCACTTCCCCATCCACTTTTATGCTTTCCCTCACAGATAAGATGTCATATAAGTTATGTTACCAAGGCAGGGAAGCGGAGGTGCTGGACACTTACGTTATCCTCTCAACGATAGTGATATTGAGTTGTGACCTATGTAATAGAAGAGAATGTATCATCTACTGGACTGGATGGTTTCTCGAAATAGGTAAATCTTGGGACTGAAAGAATGAATCAACAATTGACCAAGGGGGATGAACCAATAAATAAAGAAATTATGGGTCGAAACAGTTAAATGAACAATATTCTTTGAATGATGCCTTTGAACTAGCAGTGCAAATGAATTATTTGACGGGATTTTTTTTAGAAAAGCCTTTTTTGTGAGCTGCAGCAAAAGAAGCAGCCGTCTACTGTGGGTTTGCGGACCTGGAAAAAATAACCAGAAAATTCACTGGACACCAGTCATTCTGTGAATACTGGGGAATTACTCAAATAACTTTGATCTAGTGCATATAATACCTACTCAAGTGAGATTGCAAACTGAGGATTTATTTACATGGATCAACAGAAAACAGTCTGTTACTGAATGCACCGTGGTTGTATAATGTACAACACTAACAGATAAAGTAGGATAATTCTCAAGTTATCAGTAAATCATCTGATCTCATTCATCTAACTGGAGTTTTAAATGAGGTCAGAATCCATTTTACCACGTCTCCAAACCTTCCAGTCGGGGAAGACCGAATCCAGTAGGTCAACACATTTGATAACCTCATCTTTGCTCATGCCTTCAACTCGGAGCACGCGTTCTTTGCCGTATATACATCCAGTGTCGAAGGTGTTTAGCCCCAGTCGAAGTCGACATCGTAAGCCGGAAGTGGTAAGACGGTGTCGAGAAACAACGAACTCTCGCACCACTTCCTTCGTTCCAGGCAAAAAAATGTTGAAACTGAATGGATAAAAGGTAGAAAAGTCTTCACAGCAGTTGGTGCAATTGGCGACATTTGTCGGATCACTACTAGGTTTACTACGGGCCGGAGAAGTCTCACTGTTATGTCGAATGGCATTGTTGAAATTTTTTGTTCTAGAGCGATGTTTAGCCTTCGACGTGCATGATTTGAGCATTGCTTTGCAGAAACTTGTACTTTCTTATGACCATGACATATAGCTGTATCGACTGGTCTGTTCGAACTATCACGCGATCAAATCGCCTGAGTCACGTGAAGGCAGTGGTAAAATGATTCGAAGATGTAGGGTGGGAAGATGATAAGAACACTAGCAAAAGTTCCTCGACCACAGTCATACGTAGCTGCACAACTTCGTTGACAAAAGAAGGGTATATCAGCTATCTGTACCTTCCGAACGACCAATTTCTGGTTATCAGAGTGACTGAGACCTCCGGAAGTTCCAGCATTTGGTTGCTAACTAGAAGTTTGAATGTATCAGCGCAGTCCAAGCCTGTTATGCATATTTGAAGGCTATGTTGTGCTGAAATTCGAATACTTCAAAAATGAGTAAGTTTTTACAAGCAGCGAAAATAAAAAAAATCAGGTCCTCGAAAAGATTTGCCTCAGAACCACCATAGTGAGACAGTAAGAAAGCTGGTACTCGGTTGTGCAATCGGGATATCCAGTGAAGAAGTCATCTAGCGCCAAACGCAGCGGGTATTTGGCCATGTATCGCGCTAGAAAAATCATCGTTCACCAAAAACAATGGTGTTTCTCGTGCACAACTCGGTGTCGCCAGCAGAGACGTTGCAAGATATGGTTGCTAATTGATCCGGATTGCATGAATGAATGACGGAATGATTGTGGTAGGCTAGCACCAAGTCACTTCCCCATCCACTTTTATGCTTTCCCTCACAGATGTCATATAAGTTATGTTACCAAGGCAGGGAAGCGGAGGTGCTGGACACTTACGTTATCCTCTCAACGATAGTGATATTGAGTTGTGACCTATGTAATAGAAGAGAATGTATCATCTACTGGACTGGATGGTTTCTCGAAATAGGTAAATCTTGGGACTGAAAGAATGAATCAACAATTGACCAAGGGGGATGAACCAATAAATAAAGAAATTATGGGTCGAAACAGTTAAATGAACAATATTCTTTGAATGATGCCTTTGAACTAGCAGTGCAAATGAATTATTTGACGGGATTTTTTTTAGAAAAGCCTTTTTTGTGAGCTGCAGCAAAAGAAGCAGCCGTCTACTGTGGGTTTGCGGACCTGGAAAAAATAACCAGAAAATTCACTGGACACCAGTCATTCTGTGAATACTGGGGAATTACTCAAATAACTTTGATCTAGTGCATATAATACCTACTCAAGTGAGATTGCAAACTGAGGATTTATTTACATGGATCAACAGAAAACAGTCTGTTACTGAATGCACCGTGGTTGTATAATGTACAACACTAACAGATAAAGTAGGATAATTCTCAAGTTATCAGTAAATCATCTGATCTCATTCATCTAACTGGAGTTTTAAATGAGGTCAGAATCCATTTTACCACGTCTCCAAACCTTCCAGTCGGGGAAGACCGAATCCAGTAGGTCAACACATTTGATAACCTCATCTTTGCTCATGCCTTCAACTCGGAGCACGCGTTCTTTGCCGTATATACATCCAGTGTCGAAGGTGTTTAGCCCCAGTCGAAGTCGACATCGTAAGCCGGAAGTGGTAAGACGGTGTCGAGAAACAACGAACTCTCGCACCACTTCCTTCGTTCCAGGCAAAAAAATGTTGAAACTGAATGGATAAAAGGTAGAAAAGTCTTCACAGCAGTTGGTGCAATTGGCGACATTTGTCGGATCACTACTAGGTTTACTACGGGCCGGAGAAGTCTCACTGTTATGTCGAATGGCATTGTTGAAATTTTTTGTTCTAGAGCGATGTTTAGCCTTCGACGTGCATGATTTGAGCATTGCTTTGCAGAAACTTGTACTTTCTTATGACCATGACATATAGCTGTATCGACTGGTCTGTTCGAACTATCACGCGATCAAATCGCCTGAGTCACGTGAAGGCAGTGGTAAAATGATTCGAAGATGTAGGGTGGGAAGATGATACGATCCTTCCATGATTAGTGTGGAAAGTATGCTGTTTTGAAAGTATGGTGGTTGTGCTGCAGCTTTATCAAGGCGCAACAGTTGTTTCGCCGTAGATCAAGCCGCATGTTTTTTCGTGATCTCACTCGGAGAATTTACCGGATACACACAACCATCACTGTGTACGTCAGAATAAAACTAGCACCCAAGAATTAGTTAAGAGGGGGCTTTCAGAGGTTAGATCATTTGACTGGCCGATAACGCTGACCCTCCTATGGCAAATACCTCCGCTCTTCTTGCAAGCCTACATGGCTGTATTTGGACTAGAGAGTTTGAGCCGCTTGGAAACGGCTCGTTTAGCTCTCAGCAATGAAACGCTTTGTGGCCAAATGTTCGAGTAGATAGCTCTTGTCTGAACTTTTCTATCCGGTGCTAGAAGCCATAGCGTTCCAAGGCGATAGTTACATTTTTCAAAAGTTGACGTGGTGCCCGTATGTGAACATCATTGTTCACCTGAACATAGATAAAGTGTGTGAAGATATAGGCTATTATCATTAGTCCCATTCGACCTAAACAACTACTTTTGCATTATGTGCACATCTACACAGATCCCTTTTGATTATCCGGATAATATTAACGTTTGACCCATTGCGGAATTCGGACATGGTGTTCTCCGATGGCACCGATACATGTCAGTCTTTGTCCATTGGGTAGATGTGCAGCGAATCATGTGGGACACTTAAGTTCGGAGGTGCATCCGGAAGTAAGCCTCCTTCCTGATTTCGTTATAACAGCGCCTTTCTGGGGACAAGGAATAGATTGTTTGAATCCATCCACATTTTTACACGGTGGCCCGATTTCATAGACATTTTGAGAGAGAGAGAGAGAGCCAGAGGGAAGTAACTTAGAGAACATACTGACGCACGCTCATGTGTATTTGAGTTATCAAGGTTATTCATAAACACACGCGTCCTATTGGTTGTTATTCCTTGTGGAAAAGTGAACGAGGTAAATTATTATCGTTTTTTGTAGCATAAGTGGTATTCTTTGACAGCAAATTAACCAACTAAAAGCCAGTCAATTTCGCTATGATAAGAATACTGTATTACCTCAGGGAATGAGAAAAATCTAAAAAATATTCCTGGTGAGGTTTCGTTTTCATTCCGAGATAAGTGATTTTCTCGTTTTCTTTTTCTGGGCGTTGCTAAGTTAATCGGAGGCGATATGGTTCAGTGGTTAGAGAGCAAATCTACTGACCGGATGGTCCGTGGTTCGAAACCGACATCTGTCTCTCGATCTCTCCTGTCTAGGCTTGGGCAACCTGACAGCATCCCAGCCCTTGTGCTTCCTCCTGGTGGCACGGCAGTTAGGCACAGAAAGGGTGCTACAGCTGAAGGATTTTTACTTCAGGAGGAGTGAGCTGCCGAACGCAGTTATGTTGTTGAATTCAATTGGTCGATACCACAAGGTTGCTTAAGATGGATCGTAAAACTCAAATATCGGAGAATTTTGAGAAACGACGAAATGTAAGTTGCATGGACGCATATGTCGTGCGACAACAAAGAAGATATTACTTGCTACTTCCGACGAGAATGATACGGAAGGCAGCTGTGTTTATGCAGTCGTCACTATATGACGACTGACATGCAGCTTTGATTCAAGAGAGGTCGGTAGGGTAATTCGTGCTGAAGTCTCCTACACAGCTGTTAATCCGTACAGTCCATGTCTGTGAAAGGTTTCGTGCTTTGGCTCTTCGGACTGAACTTAGATTCGCATGCTCTCCATTCGTCCAGAGTTGTTGCAATCTAAATTCTTGCACGTTTATTATTTCGCTACGCAATTTTTGTATCGAGTCTTGTTGGTATTTATCATTTCATTATAACCCCTTGTGCCTTGCCCGAATCCGGTCGTAGCCTCACCTACCCCGGTCTCAGTTTTGAATTTCGACAAAAGGGCATCACGGTTAGGAGCTAGGTCACGTTACCCGACTGTACAAGGGTCACAGTGGTTTCACGTGACATCTACAAGCTCCATGAACTTACCTGATCAACCATGAATTTCTTGTCACGAAAACTACTTTCCTGACAAGAGCTGTATATAACTGAAGGTATTCCAGTTATTTGGTGGTTTTTAATAAGTAGAGAATTTTGATAGTTTGGGATGGGTGGCAACGAAAACGAATGCTGAACGCAATATGCTATGCAGTACTCCAACAAACTCAAAAGTTTTGTTAAGATATGCTCAGTTTATTTTTTGCCACCCCGATGGATTCAAGTGGAGGCATAACATAGCGAATTTTACCGCGGTTGAGCTTGTCTTGACAGTGATTTCGCACTAACCTTTGGCAGACATCCAGACATCCAGACATCTCCAGCGAGTCCTCACAATAAGAGAGAACACGCGTCATCCATATGATTGCCGGTGACACTCACATTGACCCTTTAAGGCACGAACATGGAAACCAACATCTGTGACTTCATTCATTGTCAGGTTTCGTCCAATGAATCAGGTCACAGGAGTCAGCAACAGTAAGCACAACATAAGTTTGAACCAACCAGTGTCAGAAAGCGCAGACTTTGAACAGTAATGATGTTTAATTCAGGTTTGTTTTTTAAGCTCAAAATGTGCTACGGTTTGTATCAATAATACCGCTGTTTTATCAGTTAACATCAGTACATCTGGAGTGTATTTGTTTTCTACTGGAGTCAGCTGTTTCCCCTTTTAATTGTTCCCCTAGGGATTGTGCTTAAAAACCACTTTTATGAAAACCGTGTGTTACGTAGCGCCCAAAAAAGTGACATGCCTGTGGCAGGAGAACTCTAGTAGAGCTGAATAGATGACGACTGGATGTCTTCCATAAGGTGATGTTTTCTGATCGAAATTCCCACAGAAGGCCATTTGGCGGGAAGGTAGTATACAAAATCCGGAACACAGGGATAAGAACCTTTGACGGACTCAAATCGACAAACATTGAAACGGACACAAAATTACGTAAGCGTTCACCTCTCTTGATTGACTAATAGTCATCGGGATCCTATCTTCTTGGTCAAAAGGAAACTGATGACTTTCAGCAAAAAAGGACAACAAACTGATGTTGAATCGTATGTTTGACTTACACATATTGACAGCTATCTAGTGTACCTCTAGGTCAAACCCTTCTCTTACTTGAACCCAGTATCCACTTCACGTCTACGATATTCACCCACAATATCCCACGAATTTTCGACCCTTAACATGTCGAATCAGCTCTGACAAACTTTTATGGCGCGCATTTTGATAACTTGCGTTACCACGAGCTATGCGTGCACGTTTGTCGGTAAATCACATCGGGTTGTCCTTTTTGCTGTTTTTTTTGGGGGCTTGTAGCAATTCGTGCGACAGTTCGACGGTTCGTGTCCTTTCGATATGCACATTTTGTACGTGTAATACCACATTTTGTTGACAGATCTCAAGACTTCGTTTTTTTGGCTTGTACTTTCGTGCATCACTTAATTGGACTTTTCGGAATAAGTCACATTCTACATGTATGTACTCCTGAGTTATTTGCTGTTTTTTTGGGGGCTTGTAGCAATTCGTGCGACAGTTCGACGGTTCGTGTCCTTTCGATATGCACATTTTGTACGTGTAATACCACATTTTGTTGACAGATCTCAAGACTTCGTTTTTTTGGCTTGTACTTTCGTGCATCACTTAATTGGACTTTTCGGAATAAGTCACATTCTACATGTATGTACTCCTGAGTTATATATTACTGCTTATGAAAATACATGTACGTCGAGAGTGGCTCTCCTTTTCACTGCCCATAAGAACGGTAACTTCTGCGCGATAAAACCGAAGGCAGAATAGCCGTGAGATTTGAAGAAGCTGTCGAAATGATATTTTTTTCAACTGTTTGGTAACCGAGGAGTTTACTATTTCAGCTTTTATGCTGAGACCTGGCCTGATTCACTAGACTGTGACCTGCGCAGTGTCCACTCGTTTGTGTCATCGCAAACATTGGAAATACGGTTGTACACGACTCGTTCTATTGTTGGGACTACGCATTGACCAACATAAACTGAAACACTTTAAGTATTCCTGAGGTGGTTGATACAACTACGATGCAACACCTTTGTGAACCGGCCAGACCGGTCCCTAGTGGAGTCCCCTATTCGAAGGTATCGACAGAGTTCCTAGTTTTGACTAACCGCCAGACGAACCTTGAATCGAATATACAACGTTTTAATAAATCGACTGTTTTTGGGTGCCCCTGTTGTTCTGACTAGGTGCTGCCAGCACAAATTGGTTCACCGGCGCGTGATCCATCTGCACTTATCTCAGACCATTAAGTACCATCTTACAACCCATTTGATGATCCCAACAAAAGTGCAAACCATCTCAACGGCTGGGTCCGCTTGGATGAATATACGCCCCCCTTCCCTACTTAATTACTCTTGAAATATACGCCCCTTTACAATGGACAGTAAATGTGATGCTAATAAAGATCTAAATACTTTATTTTCTGACGGAAGCAGATAAATTACTATTTGTCCCAGGGTCTCACAGCAAATCTACTAATACCTATCATTCACTGTTTCACCTCTTTCGGGCTGTTTGGTTGATATCCCTAAGTTTGGTCATCAAGCATCATCATACCGTTTACGATAAAGTGATCAGTACGAATTTGCTGGTAGATCAATTTCGGAATATTATCGATTGTCACACCTATGCAACCTGACATGATCCAACAAAAGGCAGGTTAACTTTACCTCGTAGTCAAGAGATGCCGAGAAAAAGACTGAATGAAACTAGTTCAGACTGTAGAAAACTTAGTGTTTCTTTATACATGCTCAATGACGGGTCCAAGCCATGTTAACCCGCATATAAATCTCAACAAA